AAGCTAAGCAAAGTATTAAGAAACAGAAAATTATTATCAGAAACAAAGAAAAGGGAACAGAACAGTTATGTGCCATCTGTCCAGCACTGAATGCTGGACAATCTCCACAAAGAAAAAAAAAAGATAAAATTGAAGCAACAAAAAATATGGTTCTACAGAATGATTTAATAAAAAAAGATGAGTTCTTATATATGGGCAAACATGCAAGTATAAACATAACATCAGGAAGAGACAGATGAAATTTCTGGGGCACATAATGAGGAAGGAGGACTTGGAAAATCTGATACTCACAGGACAGATTGAAGGTAAGAGAGACAGAGGAAACACAATGCAGATGAATAATGGCTGACAATACTTCATCTAATAATAATAATAAAATTCAAGATATTATAGTAATTTACATATTATATATAATTTATATTGTAGCAATTTACATATATAAATTGCCATAATATAATGTAAATTATGATATAAAAAAGCTATAATATAATATAAAAAATTAAAATTACAATATGTAAATTGCTATAATATAATGTAAATTATATGTAAATTGCCATAATATAAATTCCGATATCTAAATTGTCACATAATGTAAATTATAATATGTAAATTTCTATAATATAACATAAATTATGATATGTAAATTGCTATAATATAATGTAAATTATAATATGTAAATTGCCATCTTTTTAAATTACAAAATGTAAATTGACATAATTTAAATTACAATATATATAAATTACTAAAATGGTAAATTACAATATGTAAAAGAATAAATTAATGTAAAATTATAATAACAAAATTGCCATTACTAAATTATAATATAAAAATTTAAATATAATGAAAATTATAATTTAAATAAATTACAAAATGTAAATTGACATAATTTAAATTTCAAAATAAAAATAATATTTTATGTAAAATTACAATTGTAAATGCTATAATATGTAATTATAATATGTAATAAAATAAATTACGATATGTAAATTGCTATAATATAATGTAAATTATAATATGTAAATTGCCATAAGGTAAATTACGATATGTAAATTGCTATAATATAAAAAAAATTATAATATTAAATTGCCATAAGTAAATTAAGAAATGTAAATAGCTTAATATAATTTAAATTATAATTTAAATGTAAAAATGTAAATTATATATGTAAATGGTTATAATAAATTATGTAAAATATAAAAAAATTTTCAAGGTAAATTACGATATGTAAATTGAAATAATATAATGTAAATTATAATATGTAAATTGTCATTTAAGGTAAATTACGATATGTAAATTGCTATAATATAATGTAAATTATAATATGTAAATTGCCATAAGGTAAATTACAATATGTAAATAGCGATAATATAATGTAAATTGTAATATGTAAATTGCCATAAAATAAATTAAGTTATATGTAAAAAAGCTATAATATAATGTAAATTATAATATATGAAAATTGCCATAAGGTAAATTACAAAATGTAAATTGACATAATTTAAATTACAATAATAAAAATGACATCATATAAATTACAATATATAAATTGCTATAATGTAATGTAAATTATAATATGTAAAAAATAAGGTAAATTACGATATGTAAATAGCTATAATATAATGTAAATTATAATAACAAATTGCCATAAGGTAAATTACAAAATGTAAATTGACATAATTTAAATTACAATAATATGTAAATTGATATCATATAAATTACAATATGTAAATTGCTATAATGTAATGTAAATTATAATATGTAAATTGCCATAAGGTAAATTATGATATGTAAATAGCTATAATATAATGTAAATTATAATATGTAAATTGCCATAAGGTAAATTACAAAATGTAAATTGACATAATTTAAATTACAATAATATGTAAATTGATATCATATAAATTACAATATGTAAATTGCTATAATATAATGTGAATTATAATATGTAAATTGCCATAAGGTAAATTACGATATGTAAATTGCTATAATGTAAATTATAATATGTAAATTGCCATAAGGTAAATTACGATATGTAAATTGCTATAATATAATGTAAATTATAATATGTAAATTGCCATAAGGTAAATTACAAAATGTAAATAGCTATAATATAATTTAAATTATAATATGTAAATTGCCATAAGGTAAATTACGATATGTAAATTGCTATAATATAATGTAAATTATAATATGTAAATTGTCATAAGGTAAATTACGATATGTAAATTGCTATAATATAATGTAAATTATAATATGTAAATTGCCATAAGGTAAATTACAATATGTAAATAGCGATAATATAATGTAAATTGTAATATGTAAATTGCCATAAGGTAAATTACGATATGTAAATGGCTATAATATAATGTAAATTATAATATGTAAATTGCCATAAGGAAAATTACAAAATGTAAATTGACATAATTTAAATTACAATAATATGTAAATTGATATCATATAAATTACAATATGTAAATTGCTATAATGTAATGTAAATTACCATAATGTTAACTGCCATAATATAATGTAAATTAGGATAATATGTAAATTGCTATAATATAATGTAAATTATAATATCCTTATTTACATTATATTAAAACAATTTACTGTTCCAGCAGGATAATGCCCATCATATATTTTAGCATTCTGTCTAAATATCCATAGACATGGACAATGGAATGAGAACAATCTACTCTTGTAGATTGAATAACGAGTTCAGTCCAAAATTCCTTGAAGGTTGCATAGACAATCCAATAGATCAATAGACACGTAATCAAGGCTAGGGGGACACAAGGCTGAAATGTTATGCTAATAACAACAAAAATGGGGACATTATTCCAACTGTAAATAATAACACCTCATCACAGAAATTTATATAGAATCATGTTCAGGTTGTGAGAAATTTATTTGCCTTCAGTATCTAAGTGTACTTTCCTATCAAAGAATTAGTGAACCAATAAAGAGAACAGTTATTCAAAATTCATTTATTATTCAGAAATATTTGAAGATGAAAAAAAATAAAATTTTTTTTTTTTAAATTAACTGTTGAGACTCCCAGGAAACAGAAACATGGAAGATTATATATATATATATATATATATATATATATATATATATATAAATAAAGATATGTTTGGTGGTAAAATTTTATCACTGCTATGAACAGAAAAAATTAGTTTTATTATTACCATCTTTTGATAACAAAAAGCAAAAATGAAAAACAGGCTAGCTATTGGTGGGAATAAACTTTAATAACTTTGGGAATAAACCAATAAACTTTGTCCATTGTTTTTTTTTTATTATTATATAATTTACTCTATTTACCTCGATTTAGTTCTGTTAAGCTTTTATCCAAGCGTAAGCTAGCTAGTTTTTTTCATTTTTACTTTTTATTATCATGAGTGGTAATAACAAAACTAATTTTTGTCTGTTCATGGCAGTGATATATATAATATATATATATATACATATAATAAAATTCAAGATAATATTATAGTAATTTACATATTATATATAATTTATATAGTAGCAATTTACATATATAAATTGCTATAATATAGTAAAAATATGTAAATTACCATGATATAATGTAAATTATGACAATATGTAAATTGTTATAATATAAATTGCTATAATGTAAATATATATATATATATATATATATATATATATATATATATATAAGCAAGTGTAAATGGATATAAATCCGACAGAATGAAGAAAAATTTTGAAAAAACAAACAAAATCCTTAAATGTTGTTTAAAATGAATGAAATGTCGACATCTGACGTTTCGGTTTAATAAACCTTTTTCAAGACAATATTCATTAAAATACAATACAGTTGAATATGATGGACATAAAAAACACAAGTCTTATCCAAAACAGATAACTGAAAATTTTTAAAATGATCAGCTTTCCGTCTAACATGGTCACGCTGTCGTCACATGGGCGACACTTTCAAAACATATTCCTAAAAGTTTGTGATTATTTTGAAATGAAAAAGAAAATGAAAAGAATTCTATTAGGTTCTAAAATTTTTATGTGTATGCTTGTCGAGCATCAATCTCGCTAAAAAAGGGGAAATATTAAAGAAACCAGGTCTAGTATTCACTGTGCGTGAGATGGATATTATACCTGCTTCATAAATCCTCCTGAGATTTTTATTATGAAAATATTTTAATACTTTCACGGAATCGAAATCGAAATTATGATCTGCTTTAGTTGTGTGTACAACTAAAGCATTGTTAAAATTTCCGAGGCGAATATCTCGTTTATGTTCAAAAAACACGAGATTTTACGGACCTACATGTTTCACCCACATATTTTAGGTCACAGTTTTTGCATGATATTTGATAGATGCAAGCATCGGATCTAATATGTTGTCTGTTGGTGCTATTTAATAAACTACGGATAGTTCTAGTAGGTAATATAGTAGTTCTAATTTTTAATGCATTTAGATTATGAGAGATACGTTCGGTCAAATGGTTATTTGGTAAAAAGATGCGACCAAACGAAATATTATCAGAGGCAGCTGAAATTGTATCTTTCATTGATGTAGTTGTAGTGGCCTTCGAGGTGTCATTTTGCGCTGATGAGTGAATTTTCAACGCTTTATTTTTAGCTCTCTGTAATAATTGTCTTAAATCTAAGCAAAATCAATGTGTAATTTGAATGTTATACATTTAAAGTCAATAAAAAAAAATGGCTGTCCATGGTTAAGAATAAAAGTTACTAGCAGAATTGGGATGTTTTATATGTAATGTAAATGGATTGCTAATCAACTTACTATAGAAATAAATTGAAAATCATGCAGAAAGGGATCATAATGGAAGTTTTACTCACAGAATAAGGCTATTGTTTGAATAATTGTGCACTTCAAAAGTAAACTGTATATTCATAGCTATTAACAAATGGTAGTGAATCTATTTAACAAGAAATGGTTTTTATTCATCTTATTCCACCCCCTCCAATTCAAGCTGGAAGCCACACTGCGTTCGTTATTATTGTTGAATGCCATTGAATCTGAGCTGTGTCTTCAGCTGTTCGATCTCTATGTCTTTCAACTTCATGGCCATTAATTTGTTCTTACATTCAGGGCAGGATATCTGAGATATGAAAAAAGGAAAAGGAAAAATTCTATTTAATGTTTGCTTGAGTTTATCTGTGCCATCGAAATAAGGATGGCAACATTTTTAATGAGTTCTGAAAATCAGATTATGAACAAGAAAACGCAAAGCCACATACAGTTTCAGATGTTTTACATTCAATATTTTCTGAATAATTATAGACATTTATTTATCAAGCTTAACTTTATAAAAAATTTTGTTTCTACAATGTCATGACAAGAGATGCCTGCAACATCTCAAGAGGCAATTAAATGCAGAGGGGCAATTCACCTATGTCTATGTAGTGGCCTCTTTTGGTAATCTAAAAAGGTTGGTTGGTTGTTTTGTTTTACGGCTAATCAAACCCTCATGTGTCATTTAAAAGCGAGAGTCTTATATTTCATAAAATGTAAATTATTTTTTTCCTCACTCATATGGTTTCAGCTATTTTTTTTCACAGTCGATATCTAAACCAACCAACTACTTCGGTTGGTTTAGATATCAGTTTTTTAAATACTAAGATTATTTATCTGGTCTAAAAAATGTACTTTATGTATAAGCACAACAAATCTATAAGGTTGATTCATTCATTTTTTTTTACGGCTTATCAACCCCTTTACAGGTTATTTAAAGCCAGAAAATATTTTTAGATTGTAAGAATTTTGTTGGATATAATAATGATTTACTGATACAAGTCTTACTAATTAACCCAAAGTTGGGGGGGAAGCGGTGGATTCATACCCCACTCAATGGTATTTGTGCATAAATGAATATAAAAAAGCCATTGGGATTGGAACCAGGCTTGATGATTTCTAGTTCTAAGCCATTATCCATTATACCACCTGCACATCCAAGCTTAGAGAACCTGGTATTCCCTTGAAGTCACCCATCTAGGTACTGACCAAACATGATGTTGCTTAATATCTGTGATCGTACAGGGAAACAGTGTTTCAATATGATATGGCCATTGAGGTGGTTCATATGAGCATTTATGACCCAGTGAGAGCATTCTTTGTGACATAGAGGGATTATAACAGACTAGTTTCCATAGAAAGGAATGCATTTGAAAAGGTTTTACTATTAAGAATTCAGTGGAAATGGTTTTAGCATAAGGAATCCATTGAAGATGATTTTACTACAAGGAATCCATTTGAAAAGGTTTTACTATTAGGAATTCAGTGGAAATGGTTTTAGCATAAGGAATCCATTGAAAATGATTTTACTACAAGGAATCCGTTTGAAAAGGTTTTACTATTAAGAATTCAGTGGAAATGGTTTTAGCATAAGGAATCCATTGAAGATGATTTTACTACAAGGAATCCGTTTGAAAAGGTTTTACTATTAAGAATTCAGTGGAAATTGTTTTAGTATAAGGAATTCATTGAAAATGATTTTTACAACGAAATTTGAAAATTTTACTATTAAAATTCAGTGGAAATGGAATGCATTTGATTTTAAAAGGAATCCATTTACTATTAAGAATTCAGTGGAAATGGTTTTAGCATAAGAAATCCATTGAAGATGATTTTACTACAAGGAATCCATTTGAAAAGGTTTTACTATTAAGAATTCAGTGGAAATGGTTTTAGCATAAGGAATTCATTGGAAATGATTTTTTTACTGTTAGGAATATCTTCTTTTGCTAAAGCAAAAATGGTGGTAGAATTAATTTGGTTCTAATTAAAATTCATTAATTCAAAATAAAGAAAGTGATAATATTTCACAAGTACAATGAAAGTAATTTAGAAGAAAGAATTTACATTAAAATAAATAGACACATTGTCATTCAATATATCATTCACTTTTTAGGAGGAAAAATATTGTTGATCATTTTCTGGGGTGACCTCTCAAATTTCATAGCAGACAACAAACATGGTTGTCTGATTTTGCAAAGGTCTAGGAGCGTTTTAGTTAACGTCACTGATTGGTTAATAAATGCAAATGTGGAAAATCAAATTGGAGCCCACCTTTTGCACAAAAATGAGTCAGTGAGCCTAGGTTGGTACAGAATTGAGATTTTTAGTGATATTACTTAAATCTATTAAATTTTTCTACAATTTTAAATGAGGTTCCACAGATACAAGACCACATGTGGCAGCAAATCTAAATGCATTAGTAAATGGTAGACTTATAAATATGTAAGATAGATTTTGGGAAAGAACTAACTTCCCTTGCAGAGGGATGAGCAATTGATTCAATATAATCATTCTAATTCATATCAGTAGAAAATGTCAGACCAAAGCAATGGAAAGTTAGCATCTGCCACGATGATAGAAGGTGAAAAAGAAAAAAACATGCTCTAGGGGTTAGGGTTAGTAACCTCAGGAAAGTTAATGGCCATAGCTCTAGCTATTGTTGAATTACAAGAGAACAAACCGACAACAAAGACAATAAGAGTATGATTATTAATTTATAGTTGTAGTAATGTTGTTAGCAAAAGGGACAGCCCAAAGTATGAATTGCAAAACGGAGATACCAAAATCAAACAAGTGTGGAAATATAAATATCTGGGATGTATTTTAACAGAGGATGGAAAAAGCGACACTAAAATCCAAAGGCGTATTGAGATAGCGTAGGAAGCATTCCAAAAGCTAAGCCGAGTACTAAGAAATAGAAAAATTTCACTAGAAACAAGGAAAAGAATACTAAACTGCTATGTGATATTTTGTCCTCCTGTATGGCAGTGAGTGTTGGACGATCTACTCAAAGATGAATAGGAGACTTGAAGCAACAAAAATGTGGTTCTACAAAAGGATGCTGAGGATACCGTGGACCAAGCATGTGAGTAGCAGCAAAGTTTTGAAGAATATGGAAACAAAAAGGAAACTAATACTTAATATCAGGAAGAGACAGTTGAGGTTTCTAGAGTATATAATGAGGAAGGAGGGCTTGGAAAATCTGATACTCACAGGACAGATTGAAGGCAAGATGGACAGAGGAAAACAATGCATAACCTACTTAATGAGCTTGAGTAAATGGATGACAAAACAGGTCTTAGGAGAAATAACAGAAGGATGAATTTTATTAAAAGCTACAAGGGACAGAAAGTTGTGGAGAGTCATGATGGCCAACATCCTGAGGGGATATAAAGAAGAATTTTAGTGAGGTTATTTTAAATATTATGTCATGGAAATGATTAGCTTCACATCAGAAAGGTAAGAAAAACTAAAATTCACTTACGTCATTAGTTTTACTGATGGTCAACACTTTGGATGTTTGAATCTTCATCCGTAATTTGTCCGCTTCGTGATTAACTTTTTCCAGTTCCTTCGACATTTCATCCAGTTGCTTTTGCCGTACTCTGTGGAAACAAATCTTTCTTTAAAAAAAAGCTGTATAAGAATTTAAAAAAAAAAAATTAATAAATGCAACTATTTAAACATTTGGGAATGTGATTTTTTTTTTTTTTTTTATCATTTTGGAAATCTTGGAGAAAAAAGTTACTTTCCTCCTCCTGAAGTTCCTGCATACGATCAACATCATTTTACCAGATTTTCAGCGATGAAAGGAACTCCAAGACATTATCCATAGTTGATCATAAAACAAAAAACAAAATCCTTAGACAATCTTGAATAGAAAGTTACACTGTCTTTGATGAGTGATTACCAATGATATGCTTGAATTTTTGAGATGAGAAATTTTCAATATGATAAAAGTATTTACACTATTTACATGCAGAATTGTTGCGGATTTTAATCAAGCCACAACAAAGAAAGATTTTTAAATATAAAATATGTTTTTTTACAATTAGATTTTTCATAGCATGTATGAGTATTCTTACAGACCTTGATTGTAGTTGTTTGTTAAGATAAAAAGAAATATTACCTTGTGAGAAAAAAAGAGGGAAGGGAAAAAGTGAGGAGGAAAGTATAGCTGTTGCGATATGTTGCCATCCCTTTTCCTTACTGGCTTGTCTGGTCTAGAATCTTTGCTTATATACCCTTCAAAGGGATCGTGAAGTATGCATTTTATTGTTGGCAGGAATGCAACACATTGGTTGAAAAATGTTCAATGATTATTTTCAAAGCATTATTTATTTGGGATAAAAAGCAACAATAATAAGATGGAATAAAACTATCTGTCTATATTTCTGAGATGAGGTATTATGTACCCTATTTACATTATTCGGACTATTGTCCTCATCTTTGTCGCCATATTTATTACCTCAAGGACACGTGGCACAGTGGATAAAGGCGTTGGTTAGATCCAGTGACAGGACCCAAAGAGTGAGAGTTCAATACCCAGTTAAGGCAGTGGAGAACTTGCAGAGGGGAATTAACAGGAGATATCTAATAACTGATATCCATTAAACATGGCATGAGGAACTAGAACAGTCTACCCCAGTGAACAAAATAAAGGGTTCAGTTCGATATTCCAACCACCTGAAGAAGGCCAGAACGTACAACGGCTGAAACGTTGTAATAAATATGGCGACAAAGATGAGGACAATAGTCTGAATAATGTAAATAGTGTACATTATTTATTAACCGGAAGGATGTGCCAATCCTCCAACTTAGAAACTATTTTATTATCATTTGGTGTTTTGATTGTCTTGCTGTTTATTTCCACATTCATTCCACAGACTATTGCACAGGTCCACAAACTATTTCAAAGCTCACATATATATATATATATAATAAAAAGGCTTAAACACTAATATTCCATGGTCATAATTTATTCCATTGGAATTGTAAATACGATCCAATTCATCAGACCTACAAATTCAAAAAGAAAACAGAAAAAAACAACTCCGGAAATAAAAATAGAATTTAGAGAGAGTGTAAGTATGAGAGTGTGGGACGAATGTTAGAGCTAAAGAAAGGGGTAACAGATGAGAGAAGGTGGGAGATTAAACCTTAACAGAGAGAAGTTTTATAGAGGTGAATGGAAGGGGGAAATATGAATGTTGTCGGATGTCTAATACAGTAAAGATTTTCAAACATATTGTTAAATATAACAGACAATGAATGTCTATTATGTTTGATCATGAGCTGTTCAAAACTTTGTATAGTTGCTTTAATTTTGAGAGAAAATAAAGACAAAAATTGTCCAACATTTGGATATTTTTTTTATTATGCTGGTTCTTGATTCAAGCATTAGCTCACATGAGCCATCTTCAGAGTAGATATATGGACATTTAAACAAAGATATTCACCATCAAAGATGATATTCTGTTATGTTGACATAGAAGATTGCTATGCGATGATAACGGTTGCAGAATAGCAGACACAGGTCGTAAATCCATGATGCGGTTCTATGAAATGGTTTGGTCTGTAATTCAAAATATCACCTGAAGATGGCTGGAACATACAATGGCTGAAATTTTGCGAATATAGCAATAAGATGAGCGAACAGCATAAATAGTTAAAATACCTCATCTCGGAAATATAGGCTGATGCTGAGAAAAAAACTGTCCTAGATAACAGATATCATCTCACTTGAGGACTTTTCGAAGAGTATTGATGTATTAGAGTGTTGCAAAAATAATGTCGTTTTTTTGGCGTTAAGTTGAGCGTCAAAAACGACGTTATTTTTGCACCAACCTAATATAAGTGAATGCAACAAACTCGACTTGAACTCAAATATGGCTCTCCACAGTTTCTCATTCTGAGCCACTATCCATTACATCACCCACATATAGGGACAAATCACCCAATTCCTTCTGTATTTCTTTCATAGGAAGGAATTCCAACTCCGCTTCTTCCAAAGAAATGGTTCTACCTTGATGATTACAATCTTAACCTCTTCACGTCTAGGGTCAATCGTTATCTATCCGCCTAATCCTCATAATCTTCACATTCTATATCCTCCTTTAATGTTCGTTTCACACAACCTCTACCTTGAGTGGGTGGCTCTTGAGCCTCGGGTGAACATTAGTGTAGAAAAAAAAAAGAAAAGACAGTAGACTGATGTGCGTAAAGAACAAAAAAAAAAGAAAACTTACAATGAGTTTCCTGTTAACATATCACAAATCTGCTTTTTCAAAGCGTCCACTTTCTCTTTCCTCCAAGCAATCTCAGCGTCTTTCTCCTCCAGCTGCTCGGCTTTCTCTTGTTCCAGCTGTTGAAAAGTAGACATGGATTAAAAAGTCCTTGATTAAATTATGTCTTTATTGATTGGTTTGTTTTTGATAGCTTATCAACCCTTTCTCAGTTATTTAAAGCAAAAAAATTGGGGGTTGGAGGTCATTTCAAGATTTAGGCCTTATATAATGAAATGGATTAACTCTGACAATTATTTTAATATATTTTCCATTTATACATTAGTTTTATAGATATAATTTATTTAAGTAAATTCTCTGTCTTTTAATTAAACAGTATTAATTACATTTACCGGCCTGAATGTTCAAGAAATTTTAAAAAAAAAAAATATATATATATATATATATATATATATATATATATATATATATATCATTGTGAAAATTGTATATAAATATATATATGTATAATTATTTATATATTATATATTGCGGTACTTATATTAGAAAGCACTCAATATCAAATAAGCTAACATATCACTTTGGATAGATGTGAGTTTGTGACCCTGGGTTTCACATTTTAGCGATCGTCAGACAATCACTAAAGTGTGAAACCCAGGGTCACAAACTCACATCTATCCAATAAAATATATATATATATATATATATATATATATATATATATATATATATATATATATATATGTGTGTGTGTGTGTGTGTGTGTGTGTGTGTGTGTATATATATATATATATATATATATATAGTACAGGTATTAGTATCCTTTTAAATAACAAATATTAAAACTGATCCACAGACTTTATTATAACAGAGCATATATATTTTACTAGTAGTAGAAAATTGGCGTTGCCGGGGATATAACAAATTTTGAGATATAGATCAAGTATTCACCATCATAAAGACTGAAAAATCAGAAAAAAGATTATTGTTTAAGGTTGACGGACACGCATGTCTTAATTAGTTGTTTTTTTTTTTAATTTTTTTTTAAATTCGTCAAACCCAACCTCAAAAAAAAACATTGTTTTCTATCGTTATGAGTCTACTGATTGAATAGAATTCTATTATAAATAATTGTCTTGTAAATGGAATTTTTAAAGCATTCTGATTGTTAAAAAAAAAGAAAAAACGTATGCAAGAGAATAAGAAACACTACCTGCCAAAAAAAAAAAAAAAGATTTGTTTTATCATTTTGAAAAAATATAGGAAATCTGATTCCCATATTTAAAGGAACCCACACACACAAACAACCCGATGTGAGTTGTCCCCTTCCATTTTCACGATGTCTCTTAATCGTGTTTTCAAATTGATTTTATGCAAAAACAATTATATTTTTCCCATTTCTGGCGTTGTTAGAACCACCACAAGGTAATTTTATGTAGTCTAGTGAAGTTTTGTTGAAATCGGTTGAAAAATGTAGGAAATCCGATCCAATATATAAACGTTACAGACACACACACACACACACACACACACACACACACACACACACACACACACACACAATAATTTGCGTTTTAAAATAATAAGATGACAAAAACTAAAATTACTTCAAAATGAAGTAATTTTGGTTTTCATTGTTATATATATATATATATATATATATATATATATATATAAACACACACACACACACATATAGTTCAAAAGTTTGAGTCCAACCCTGGTAATTGGCCCACAAAATAGTTGTTTTGTACTTTAAATAAGAGAAAATTATTATACATGGTTAAAAAAAAGTGAGACATATTTTTTATTAGAAATTTTATTATAACAAAAAGAAAAAAAGCATTTTATGATAAAATTTTGCTCTCTTCAAAATATCCTCCTTTAGCCTTGATTACTGCAGCAAAAAATCTGGGCATTCATTACAAAAGTTTCTCCCAGTATAAAGTTTGATAATTGATACCATTCTTTTTTTCAAAGACTCCAAGAGTCTTTTTTTCATTTTTTCTTCACTCTTCTGTCAAGTTCATTCCCTGCTAATTCTGGGGATGGCTTCAAACCTTTTGAACTGTAGTGTATATATTAATCATTTCATTACAAGCAATACAATAAAGCCACTAAGATGCAGGTTAATGAGTATGAAAGAATATAAGAAAAATGAGCAAGTACAATAAAAGAATAGGAATTAAGAAGACAGAAGATAACGATTGACATTGCATTTACATTTTTGAAGATAAAACCTGATTGAAAGGCAAGAACAACAAAAATATGATAGATGAGGCTGAGAAGTGATCTATCATGCACTAGGTAGAAATCCCAGCATGCATTACGATTTTTACTTGAAACCAATAAGCCTCCTTAAGGTTTACAATGAATTTATCTATAAATGATACTGCAGGCAACTCTGATCATGAAACAATTGCATGTTTGAATTTCACAGTTGAGGTATTCTTTCTTGCGGTAACAAAAGAAAAAGAATATGACTGATAACAATAATATGGCTGCAGCAGTTGAGGAGGGGTAGGGCCTTGAAAAAGAATTCAAGAAAAGGAAATCCTTATAAATGAGGGAGAGTAATCATATTAAACCAGGCATGGGCAACTTTTTCTGATTAGCGGGTTGCATGAAATATGGCTCATCATAAAGTGGGCCGCACTAATAAAATAATTCAAAGTAATTTTATGTTGAAAGTGATATGTCCATTTTCACTACAGAAGATCATACATGTAAGCATCTTCCTTTCCAAATGTGGAAAAAGTTGATATTTTTTATTTGGAGAAAAAAAATTTTCTACAATTTAAAAATTGAAGATTTCATATAATATAATCCCTGCTGACACTTTGATTAACACATAATACTGCAGGTGATTTGTTTCTTATTTATTCATCTGAAAATACAAAAAATATCTTTAAAAAATATATATATATATATATATATATATATATATATATAAGAGTTCTCATGTTTCAAAAATGAGAGCTGAAACCATCCAAATAATTATTAAAATTAAGTTGAATTGAGGTGTTTAGTCCCATTTAATCGTCAAGCGAAATTTTAGGAATAAGCTATCTCTTGGTTTACGTGTGTTTTTAGGCATGGTTCGTTATAACATTGGTTATTGTGGAGGTGGCTAGGCTAGTTTTCTTCATTAAGTAGTCAGAGAGTTAATTCTTATCTATAGATTCATCATCTTCTGAGAGGTTTTTAAGGTTGGATAGGGTATCTATTTCAAGGCTAATGTAAATCGGTCATCCACTAGTTAGTTCCCAGTGAGGGATATTTTTGAAAATATTTATAAGTCGTTATGTGTCGGGAGGATTTTGTTTTATTATTGTCTATCTGATTATCTATTTATTTATTTGTTTATTCAAATGGGTGTTTATATATACAATATGTATTGCACTGAATTTCAATTTGATTTTTTCGGTTTGTTTTTTGACGACTACAGAAAGGGTTTTTCCTATTTAATGATTTGGCTAAGCTTTTAAGATATATTTTATTAAACTATGGGATTTTTTTTTTTATGCTAATTATTTAATGCGAAAAATTTGTTGATGTATTTCAAAAAAACTACTGTTAATTTCCTGCCTATGGTTTAATAATTTTTCATTATTTGTAAATTTAATGATGTGTAGTTTTTCGAAATGTATAAGGAATCATATTTTTAAACAAAAAACTATTATAATATTATTCTACTTCTGCATAGAGCTATGTCTTCTTAAAAAAAAAAAAAAAATCTAATGAACTCCGGATTATGAATTAATTTTTTTATTTTTTATATTTTTTATATATAATATATATATATATATATATATATATATATATATATATATATATATATAAACAAAAAATATATAGAAAATAGGAAGGAACTGGTTAGGTAAATAATCCAAAGTTCCTTAGTATTTTAGTTATTTTTTTTTAAAAAAATAGTGCTCGATACAAAAATAGAGCATAAATATAATTATTTATTTAAAAAATATGATTCCAAATCTATGACATAAGAGTCTCCCATTTTTCAAAACAAAGGAAAAAACTTCAATATAATTATTTAAATTAAATTTAAGTTAAAATAAACTCTGTTCCATCTTCAAGCGAATTGGAATCATATTTTTAAATAAATAATTTGGAATCATATTTTTAAATAAATAATTAGATTCAAAAAAAAAAAAAAGCTTGAAGATGGAACAGAGCTTATTTGCTTATTTTAACTCAATTTAATTTAAATAATTATATTGAAATTTTCAGCTCTTGTTTTGAAACATGGGACTTCTTATGTCGCGATTTGGAATCATATTTTTAAATAAATAATTATATATATATATATATATATATATATATATTTCTTCTCCACAGAAAAAAAAATAATATGAACGTTTCCGCATTTCTAAAGCAAAATATTTTGACACGTATGATGCTCCTTAATGAAATTAGCTAATAGTTTAAATGATGAGAACGTTACAAAATTAAAAAAAATTAAAAAAAAAAAAAAAAACGATTAACTTAATCATTATGCTACATGTTTTAGTCGAATCGCACCCAAAATACAACATGCATTAATAAGAAAGGGAGGTTACTCGGGCATTCAATAATTATTTCCCTTTGACACCAGCTTCTCTTGTGGTGAGAGGGAAATAAAAAACAAGACCAAAATCAGTGTTTCACCGACTTTTCTTTTTTGTGGTCCATTTTTGCTGTCAAAAAAAATTTCCAAGCCCACATAAGCACAAATAAAAATTCCCTGTAACATGAAATACATTTTATTTACAAAAACAAAACGTAGTAGAAAATATACATCCTAACTAATAACTACACTGGTCCTGGTAACACTAGTACAATAAAAACTTTCAAAAATGATTGAAGGAAGATAATTTAAATTCAATTATAACCATAGACCTTTATATAAAAAAATGATAAATTATAAATAACTAACAATGAAAATGTAGATTAATGGTGATTATATAATAAAGATAAAGTAATGCTTTCAAAAACTAAAACAACAACTAATTCTGTTACACTGTAATTCAATAACTCACATTTAAATGCCTAAAAAAAGCTGGTATCAAAAAAAATAAAATAAAATAATAAATGACCACAAAAAGTTTTTCTAACATCACACAATAAAACAAAAAAATGTTTCAAATCAATATGAAAATATAATCTTACTTATTATAAAACGCAGATTGTGTGTGTGTCTGTACGTTTATATATAGGATCATATTTCCTACATTTTTCAACCAATTTCAACAAAACTTCACAGGACTACGTAAAATTACCTTGCAGTGGTTCTGACAGCGCCAAAAATTGGAAAAAAAACAATTGTTTTTGCATGAAATCTATTTGAAAACACGATTAAGCGGTATTAATTAAAGGGGGACAACTCACATCAAGTTATACTTATTATAAAACCCAGGTTGGTTGTGTGTGTGTGTGTGTGTTCATTTATATATGGGATCGGATTTCCTACATTTTTCAACCAATTTCAACAAAACTTCACTTTTTTTTTTGGCAGGTAGTGTTTCTTATTGTCTTGCACACTTTTTTTCTTTATTTTTACATTCAGAATGCTTTAAAAATTCCATTTACAAAACAATTGTTTATAATAAAATTCTATTCAATTGGTAGACCCATAACAATTGAAAACAATGTTTTTGTTTGAGTTTGACCAATTCGTAAAAAAAACTAAACAAAACAAAAAAAACTAATTAAGACATGCGTGTCCGTCAACCTTAAACAATAATCTTTGTCGATTTTATTTTTCAGTCTTTATGATGGTCAATACTTGATCTATCTCTTACTGTTACATCCCCGGGCAATGCTGGGCTCTACTGCTAGTTTATTATAAAACGAAAATATTAAAAATTTCATCTAACTTCTGAATTATTTGCCTTTAAAAAAAAAAAGTAAAGTAGTTTGTGTTTTCATAGTTTTATGCCAGTGGAAAAAAAAAAAAAATAGAATTTCAAAGCCTACCTATTTTCCTTGGGCCAACTCCTGGCCCATTTTAAAAATTCCTTGGAGCCCAAATTGAGAATCACTGACCAAAATTTCACCATCGATAAAAATAGATGGATAATAAAAATGGCCAAGCAAACAAAGCCATAGTTCGAACAACCAATCAGAAAACGTTCATAACCAGGATGTAAGAAAAGAAATAAACAATAACAAAAATTTCAACATCTCTAAAAATAGATAAGTTTCTGATTGGTTGGTCGAATTATCACAACGAGGGGATAGGCTGTGGGCTAGCGAGAAGCAAAGCACCCTTTTCAAAGTGGATCTATAGATATGTATATAAACAGATGAAAAATCAACCAATACTAGAGTTGATAAATCATGTCCATTCTCAGATGATGCAGTCATCTTAACATACCCAGAGATGAAATACAACATTTGTACAGCTAAGCCATCCTTGCTACATTGAAAACAAACATACTTTCCTTCACCATGTGCTAATGTGGCAGTTACTATATCTGCATACATACATATGTATATATATATTTAATTCCTCCCAGACTCTTTCTCTCTTATCTCTCGTATGCACAATGATTTTACACTTGAATTATTGAAACCTCAACATTCATCTTATCCATCTGTATTATATTGTGTATATAAAGATTTATTTTGTATTTATCAACACTCTGTGCATTTTCTTTTAATCATTACACAAGGCAAATATACACCCATGTCAGTTATACTTATATAAGGTGGTAACACGCATTGTCATGAGATAAACAACCTATCCATAACTGATAAACTTATAAACTACCATTTTCTCAACCTCTTTGCATGAGAGAGAATGTGAGTGAACAAGTGAGAATGCAACAAAACATAAAATTTTAAAAATAACGTTATTTTCCGCATTAAATTAGGCATGCCATTCAGAAAGCCAGCCCACGGTCCATATGTGGCCTGCAGCCTGCCCTATGATTGGGTCAAACCCTGACTAGAACTAAGCTGCAAAATTGTAAAGACTAACAATAGGCATGAACCAGTTTTTTTATGTAACTTGTGATGCCTCAAAGAGGCTTTATTTAAAAGAAGAAACTTTATCAAAACATTCATTCATTCTAAGAACCAGGCAGAAGACGCAGCAAAGTTTGGTATGAGGTACAAAAATAAAACTGCATTCAAATGGGGTACATGCTGGCAAACAATTTACTTTCCTTCTTTCTACCCACTGACTATACCACTCATTTAACTTCAGCCTTTTTCTTCAGGAAGAAAATAAATATTACTTACCTAAATAAAAAAAATGGATGAATTAACAAGCAAACTTTTACCATTTTTGACCAGAAATTTGTTTGAGCAAGTTTTGGCAAACAATCTGCACATTGTTCATTAATAATAATAATAATAATAAATATACCTCTGTTCCTCAATAAGTAACCAATTCCATTGTTTATATGATGCAAATTACATCACTAGTGGAACAGAGGTAGTAATATATAATGATATGTAATAAAATAATACTACTAATAATATATAATGTTAAATAATAAAATAATAATAAAAAATAGTAATAATGATAACAAAAAATAATAATGTTAAATAATTAAATAATAGTAACAATAAATAAAAAATAATAAGATAAAAATAATAATAAATGTTAAATAATAAATCAATAAAGTAGAAATATTACTAATGATTTTTATTAGAGAATTGTATTAAAAATATGAAGAGGTATTGTCAGAAAGGGTTCCGGAATTAATGCAACCATTACTGATTGATGGATAATATAAATATTATATGGATAATATAAATACATTGTTAATGATTTTACTACAGAAATGCATTAAAACAGGAAGGGATTGTCAGTGGTCTGGAATTAATGTAAGCTTTGCTGATAGAATAATAGGAAAGTTATAGGTGTGATGTAACTGGAAGCTTTCTGACCAAAAATAATCTCCAATGAAGAGTTTAAATTCAGAATTAATTTAAAGACCATTACAGTCATTGCCCAGAGGAGATGGGATATAAAAGATTTGTCGGGATTGGATAGGAAGTCTCTTATATCGGGTTTCTCAATTATATCGGTTTTGGTCTATTTTGATTTTAAGTATGGCTCTAATTTGGGACCAGAGAAAATCTCTCTTATATTCGGGTTTCTGGATGAAACACCATTTAGGGCAAAAGCAAGTAGAGCTTTTTTGGATGGAAAAGGGCAAAAGCAAGTAAAAAAAAAAAAAAGAGGGTGTAAAAAGATTTCAAAAAATAACATTTGAAAATGATTTCCGACATAGTAACTGAAAGAGGTGGCTTTCATTTATCATCATTTCATGTGCCACTTGGCATAGAGTGGACTGACTGACAGGCTGATGTTTTACATAAATTCAAGGCTAATGATTTTTAGTATAAAAACGCATTGAAAAATCAGGAAGAAATTTTCAGTGAAAGGTAAGCATAGATAGAATTTTGCGATAATATGAACAATTGCATCATGTATTCATGGGAAGAGACAATTCTTGATATAGTTTATATCATTACTGTCAAGGTCAAACCTAAAATTAAAAAAAGAAAAAAAAAAATTAATTTTTGGAAGACAATTTATTTTCGTCCTTAGCAAGCTTCTAATTTCTGCAATTGAATTTAAATTTTTCCTTTCAGGAACATGGCTTCTGAATTTTATTCAATCACACATACAATTGAAGAGTGAATCTAACTAAATCAGGATCCTTTTTTTTTGGATTGTACAAATTTCTTTGAATCTTTCAAATTTACTAACAATCAACATAAATTCTTTTGTTGGGCCTATAATTTCAACCCATTTTTAGAAACAAATTATTCGTCCACAAACAACATAAACTTTAAGTTAATCATGTGTATTTTTTTAAGATTGACAAGCAAGCTAATAACAATTACAAACCTTTTCTCTCAAAATTTTCAGCTGTTTTTGGCTTAAAATATTTGAAAATTTTTTCATGCCATTCAGGGCTGAAGTGACACGGGACAATTAAATAATGGTAAATTGTTTTGGTCATTTCTTTAGTTATCTTTTGGTATCTCAGACTCTTGAAGAACAGCAAAAAGAGAAAAATGGTTTCATTCATTTTTTTTTTTTTAACATTTCCCCAAGCAAGGTGGGAAATTCTATTTAACATAAGCAACATTATTTAGATCAGATAGGAGTGATAGAGGAAAGGATGAGGAGATATTTCACATGGAGATGCATAATTACATTTGAATAGTTGGAAAATTATAATAAAACTGGAACAAACCTCCAAAGGCAAGAGGTGCAAGACCTGTTTTTAACATATATACAGTTGCAAAATAACCTAGTTATTTGATTTATCCACATTAATATTATATATATATATTTTAAGCATTTCACCCCAATTTAAGGCAGGATAATGTTAATAATAATTATTTTTACAGAAAATATAAGCGAGATCAGATCTTGTCTCCAATGAGGAAAAGGGTAGTGGACATTAACTGAGATGTCGATTGACATTTTTAAATTTCTTTAGTTATAAACTGGAATGGGAAGGGAGTTCTCAGACTCTTGAAGAATTAGAGTAAAAAGAGGAAAGTGAAGGGTTTGCCAGCCTTACTTGAACTCATATAGTCTGGGAACCAACAAAAGCTCCTCGTCACAATTACCACGAAATATTTGTGAATAAATGGCAAGTCTGTCTGTGAAAGTGACTATAGACGAGATGCCAAGCAGGGCCATATATAGTTCCATTATATTAAACCAGGGTTTTGCATCTTCATTGTATAAAAATTTTTCCCACTGGGCAATATTAGAAACAGGCGATTTTAACTTTTGGGTGGGTGATGAACAATTTAACAGAAAATGGTGGGCAAGTGGAAATTTCAGTGGGCAATATAGGATTTTGAGTATTAAAAAGATATTTCAACATATGCTACCAGAAAAAAAATTAAAAGAGATATACAAAGAACCTGTATAAAAAAAAAAAAAAATTTTAAAACCGAAGACTAATCATACTTATTATAAAACCCAGGTTGTGTGTGTGTGTGTGTCTGTACGTTTATATATTGGATGGGATTTCCTACATTTTTCAACCAATTTCAACAAAACTTCACAAGACTACGTAAAATTACCTTGCGGTGGTTCTGACAGTGCCAAAAATTGGAAAAACACAATTTTTTTGCACGAAATCAATTTGAAAACACCATTAAGAGTCATCGCGTGAATGAAAGTGGGGTAACTCATATCACAATTATAAAACCCAGGTTGTTTGTGTGTGTGTGTGTGTGTCGTTTATATTTGGGATCGGATTTCCTATATTTTTCAACCGATTTCAACAAAACTTCACTTTTTTTTGGCAGGTAGTGTTTCTTATTGTCTTGCACACTTTTTATTTTTACATTTAGAATGCTTTAAAAATTCCATTTACAAGACAATTGTTTATAATAAAATTCTATTCAATTGGTAGACTCATAACGATTGAAAAAATGTTTTTGTTTGAGTTTGACCAATTCGTAAAAAAAAAAACTAATTAAGACATGCATGTCAGTCAACCTTAAACAATGATCTTTGTCAATTTTATTTTTCAGTTTTTATGATGGTCAATACTTGATCTATCTCTTACTGTTACATCCCCAGGCAACGCCGAGCTCTACTGCTAGTTGGGAATAAATGGGTCACATTTTTTGATACAATGTAAATATTCAGGCAAACAAGGAATATTTTTTTGTATTTTCTAAAGTTTTGAGAAGGGTCATTAACATTCAAATAATTCTTCAGATGAAATAACATTTTTTTTTTCGGATATAAATCCGATAATGGAAAACTGAGAACAACAGAAGAAATATTTGCTGAAATTTTTTTAATTGCTGGTAGTATATATTACTTTTATGGGCACATGGCCAAGTGGTTAGAAGATTCACATTCTGACCATCAGACCTGGGTTCAAATCTCATCAGGGTTGATTTATCAGGATGGTTACTTTTTGATGTTATTGGTCTTGAAGAGGAGATCCCTGTACGTGGCACCTTTGGAAAGTGCTTGAAAACTCTACCAGAGGTTAACCCAAGGCTTGTAAGTGAAATTTGGTAGGCGGAACCCTTGGGAGGTGTCGGTGGTTGTGCTAGCACAAAGTCACAAGTCATCGTGAGTGAGTGTTTGAGTGTACTGGCCTTATTTAGACTTGATCACGCTAGATAACACGCTCATTTCCAGAAACTGTAACTAAGGTCTGCTCAGAATAGTTGCAGTATAAAGCACAGGTGGGGTCTGTGGGTGTGGAACAAGCACAAATGTGCCTGTGCAGACGTCTGCAATGGGAATTAGCAAGCCACCTCAGTAGACTGGCATCTTCGGATGCGAGTGACTGTGCCATTTACATTTTAGGACATGGGCAATCATAGCTCTCCACAATTTCCTGTCCTTTATAACTTTTAGTAAATTATGTTTTTTTGCGATCTCTCCTCATCCCTGTCAACAATTTACACAAGCTCATTATGTAGGTTAATGTGCTGCTTTCCTCTATCCCTCTTGCCTTCAATGTCTTGTGAGTATCAAATTTTCTAAACCCTCTTTCCTCATTATGCACCCTATAAATTTCTACTGTTCCTTTTTGATGTTACGTATAAGTATCCTTTTTGTTTCTCATTTTCTCATGGTATTCCCAGCATCCTTCTGTAGAACCACATTTCTGTTCCCTCATGTCTCTTTCTCATCTGTGATGAGATTGTCTATCATTCACAGTCATATAAGATGACCGATACTAAATAACAGTTTAGTACTCTTTTCTTTTTTTCTTATAACATTTTTCCTGTTTCCTAATACTTTGCATAGCTTTTGGAAGGCATCTTTCACAATTAGGTTAATATAAATGCTTCCAGCATTTTTCCAGCTAAATTGTTTATTTCTAGAAATTCATGTCATTAAGTCATTTATAGCTTTCACCTAAATTGTGTATAAAAGAATAATTCTATTTTCAATTCAATGAATTCTTTGAGGAATTTTTAAATGACTTGAAAATGTCCCAACTACACAGAGAAGACAAGTGTTGCATGAAGCAAAAAAAAAATGGCCTGATGGTGACAGGTCTGGAGAATAAACCTCCGACTCAACATCCAGGTTTGCTGTATTTGCAATTTGAAGACAAACCATGCAGCAAAATGACTACCTTGTCCAAAGAAATGATACTTTTTCTCTTCTCATGTATTATTCAAACAAGCCAGTTGCTCACTTTAATATTGATGTATTGATAGTTTTTTGTATTTTTTTTTTTTACTATTCTTCAACCAATACAGCCAAAGCATCACTCAAGGTAGAGAGCTACTAAATGAGGTTGTGGTCAGGATGTGCAAGAAGGGAACAAGAGGTTCATATTATGAGGATACGTAGGACAAATAACAGCTGAACTTAGACTTGAAGAGGTTAAGATTAAAGTGATTGGGGAAGCATCCTCTTGGGAATCTGTTTCACAATACAATAATTCAGGGGAAGCAGCTGTCTAAGTGCAACTTCTTCCTTACCAATGGAATATGAACGGAATGAGGATGAATCAACTCAGTGTCCATGGTATGGTAGGTCCTAGCTCTGAAGGTCTGACTTGTGGAACCAAGGAATGTAATTCACAGTTTGTCCAGGTTTCAACAATTCATATTAAAAAAAAAATCTATTTAAATTGTAGCAAACACAGATTTTCTTTCACTGGTAATGGATGTATTAGCTGTTTCCTTATAAGGAAACATTCAGCATTCATTGACCGAGCAGCTACTGCTATTCAAGTCATGCTTTTCTTCACTCCCTGATCATGAAACTGGGACTAAAGTGTAGTATCTGTTCTCTCCTTCTCTAATGACAATACTAGCTGTTTCCTTATAAGGAAACATTCAGCATTCATTGACCAAGCAGCCAGTGCTACTCTAAGTTGAAATTTATAAAATCTTGCTATTAAGACAATTTTTCGGGGAAATAGGTTTCTCAAGTCCAGTAGCTGTTATTGCTCTTTCCAGAACTGATGGGTGTTTCCTTCCTAACCTTTTGTTTGAAGTTGTGTAGAACGTCAACATCTTGATTATGTCATTATTTTCTCTTCTCAAGTCCAGTAGCTGTTATTGCTCTTTCCAGTACTGATGGGGGTTTCCTTCCTAACCTTTTGTTTGAAGATGTGTAGAACGTCAACATCTTGATTATGTCATTATTTTCTCTTCTCAAGTCCAGTAGCTGTTATTGCTCTTTCCAGTACTGATGGGGGTTTCCTTCCTAACCTTTTGTTTGAAAGATGTAGAACGTCAACATCTTGATTATGTCATTATTTTCTCTTCTCAAGTCCAGTAGCTGTTATTGCTCTTTCCAGTACTGATGGGTGTTTCCTTCCTAACCTTTTGTTTGAAGTTGTGTAGAACGTCATCATCTTGATTATGTCATTATTTTCTCTTCTCAACTCCAGTAGCTGTTATTGCTCTTTCCAGTACTGATGACGACTTCCTTCCTTGGCTTTTGTTTGAGGTAGTATGCAACATCAGCATCTTGGCTATGTCATCATTGTCTCTGCTATCCATTTTAGTTGTCACTACTGTTGAAAGTCCTCAAGTAATGTAGTTTCTGTTGTTTGGTTCAAAGAAGGATGGTTCTCGCTGCCGAGACCTACACGCTTCACTCGCTCAAAGCCATTTTTAACCATTGATCTGAGAAAGTGACTGTATAGAGACAATAGTCTAGATATTGTTGAATGGGAGTGGAGCCATGTATGACAGCCATATGAAAGCCTCGACTTGACAAGGCCTTTTAAGGATACAACTCTTGTTTTGGTTTTGTAGCAATTGGTGGTGTAGAGTGAAACTATCTCTAGCGCAACCTATTCTACATTCAGTTTCGTTATACTAAATTTCTTATAAGTGATACATACACCGAGCTATTTCAAATGTTTGGTATTTACTAATTCTACATCCTGAATTTTTTATTCAGAGTAGGTGACCTCATTGCTTCATCCCAATTACAGATAATTTTTTGGAAAGATTTATCTTGAGACCTATGTCTTGGAACACTTAATAGAGAATGTTGATTTTTTTTTTTGTGCAAGAATAATCTGGAACAACTATGAATACCTATGCCAGTGACATAGCACCCACCCCACACACACACACACATCTTCATCCTCTGTACATTTGCCTCAGGTGCGAAAGCCGTAATGTTGTCTTCTATTGGTAAATTCATGCATCATTCAAATGACTATTATATGACAATGCGTTATACTAGAACATACCTATTCTATAATTAATAGACTCTCCCACAGATAATAAATAGTAGTAGTAGTAGCAGTCGCCAGGTGGCTCAGTGGAGTTGGTCGAGTCAGTCGATGTCGGACATTAAAGTATCAACCACCACAACTAGATTGCTGCGTCATTAACTATTATAACAAGTTCCTAACGTTTTGTACGTCGAACCTTTTTTAGGACCGACTCAGTGAAATACAAGCCTCCACTGTGAAAACTACTCTACAACACAATGGTAGTATTAGATTTTGGCCATTTTGATATTCATTAAGACAGGAGAAACTGGACAGCAAAAACAGTATTTTTTTTTTTGTCTGAAGCTATTTCAGCAAGGATTATCTTGTTGCCTTTCAGAAAATACCTCCTCTTTTCTCTTCTTCTGTACATCTGTCAGCACTCGGCACTTGTCCTGCAGTTTGGCTTTCAGTTCTAAGACGGTAATCTTCAGATGCTCCAGTTCGGAAAGGAGATGCGATTCATAATCCTCAAAACAAAAAGATATAAAGAGGATTAACATTATTCATGTTACAAAAATATACAACATTATGTTACTGCGACAAATGTCAAAATATACAACAGCCTTATTGTGACAGTCACAATTCTGACCACATGCTAACCAAATTTTCCTGATCGCCAATACATTTTTATAGTAAAATAATTTGTAATTTTCTCCTATACTAGAATTTTTTTTTTAATCATTTCACCCCAAGAAAGGCAATATTATAATATTCGATATTTCTTAACTTCAGTGATCATTCAGTGATCATACAAGAAACGGTCTTTCTAATGTGATATGGAAAATTGAAATTAAAGGATGTTTCTTGATATCTATTTATAGTTTTTATATCCCTGGGATGAGGCGCCAAGTCAAAAAAAAAAAAAAAAAAAACATATCCTCACTTCCTGAGATTACTTATGTAAAAGAATTTGAGTTTTAGTTTAATAAGACAGAAGGAAAAATAGACAGACAGTGACCTACCTTTGCATCTGTATTAGTATTCGGAGATTTTCCTGAAACTAAATCAGTAAGCTGAAAAAAAAGAAAAGAAAAACTAAGCAGAAAAACTAACAACTCTTTTCCTATGATGTTTACATGAAAATCCTGAAAAGAAAACCTTATTTTCTATAGCAATCTAAGACAAAGAACACCATTGGAAAATTCGTAAACTTAAGGAATCAGCACATAGGTTAGGCCACAAAAATCTCCTGAGCCAACCAAGCATAGAAATGAATACAATATGGGAACCAGTAATAAGGAGTGCCAGAGAAAAGTGATAACAACAACAAAAATTGCAATATGAGCTCTGCTAAAAACATTTATTGATAACAGCAAAAATTGCAATATGAGCACTGGTAAAAAATGGTTGCTGAAGACATTAAGTTTATAATACCCAGAAATTCATACATGGCACAGTGGATAAAGGCATTAGTTAGATCCAGTGACAGGAGCCAAAGAGTGTGAGTTCAATACCCGGTTAAGGCAGTGGAGAAGTTGGAGAGGGGAATTAACAGGAGATAACTGACAACTGATTGAACATGGCACGTGGAACTAGAACAGGACACATGACACAGTGGATAAAGGCGTTGGTTAGATCCAGTGACAGGACCCAAAGAGTGTGAGTTCAATAACCAGTTAAGGCAGTGGAGAACTTGCAGATAACTGATAACGGACATCCATTAAACATGGCACATGGAACTAGAACAATCTACCCCAGTGATCGAAATAAAGGGTTCAGTTCAACATTCCAACCACCTGAAGAAGGCCAGAGCATACAACGGCCAAAACATTGTAATAAAGATGAGGACAATAGTCCAAATAATGTAAATAGTATACATAATACCTCATCTCAGAAATATAGACAGATAGTTTTATTCCATCTTATTATTATTGCTTTTTATCCCAACAATCTTCATTATTCCTTTTATTTTATTACTAATTTAGTTTTATTTAAATCCAAAAACTTATTATTGTTAAAAGAAAATTTTTATCCTAATTCCACTTATTATTGTTTTTTTATCCCAACTATACACTATTCATTATTATTCTATTATTTTATTACTAGTTTTATTCCATCTTATTATTGTTGCTTTTTAATAAACACTCTATGGCTCTATTATTCCTATTTCATTATTTTTATTATTTTATTACTAGTTTTATTCCATCTTATTAAATTTCTTCATTATTTATTTTTTATCCTAACATTCCATTTATTATTGTGATTTTTTTCCCAACATTCTTTTTATCATCTTCATTATTCCTATTACAAATTTAGTTTTATTCCATCTTATTATTGTTATTTTATTTTATTACTTTATATACATTTTTATTCCATCTTATTAAAAAAATTTATTATTGTTTTTTTTTTCTATGACATTAATCTTATGATTATTTATTACTTTTTATTCCATCTTAACAATTTTTTTTTAATTTTATTACTCTTTTGTTACTATGAATTATAGAGAAACTTTTTTTTACTATTATTTTCCTTATTTCTTATATACACTCTTGAACATTAAATTTTTAGGTTAATAATATTTTATCAAAAATATTCATTTTGCATGTAAAATATAAAATTTATCAAGTTTTTTGAAAAAATGTATTTAGATAAGAAAAATGTAAAATAAAACATTTTTTTTTAATTTTTAGATTTTTCCCTCTTATCACATGGTGTGCCAAAACTGTCTCCTTTCACTGTCATGGATTTGATGCTATCCTGCATGTCTGTGACCTGATCATTGGTCTGAATCATTAGGGATTTCATCAATGTGTCTTGGGATCTGACCGTTCCAAGTTGTCGGATCTTCAACAGGGGCATTTATTAATTTGTCTTGCAGTTGTTTTTTTTTTTTTTTAGATTAAGAATTACAGATATTAATCGATATATCAGATGAAAGTGTCCATATGTTTAGCAAATGCTAAAAACAAAATAAAATGAATTTTAAAACCACGTGGGACAATAGATAGGAAAAAAAGTAAAAGGAAAGAATAATTATTACTTAAAAGTGCCAGGCTAATTTTTTGTGTTTTCTTATATGGATAAAATACTAAAATCAGATAGATGAAAAATAAATTAATTAAAGAATCACAAAAATATATGGATTGTTTTTGTTTTTTTAGTGAAACAAAATATCTTTTTTCAATGGGTCATTTAATGCCGACAATTTTTTTTTTTATTTTTGTTAATTTTTTTTCATCAAAATGATAATTTGGTAATATTTTTCATCAATGTAAAATCAATTTTCATGCATACTATTCTTTCAAAAAACGTATAGCTGGCAATATTAACAAAAAAAACGTACAGCTGGCAAACATTATTTTTTACAAAAAATATATTATCAGGGCCTTGCTTTTTGGATTGAATTTTATCGTCTTACCCAGGACGCCAAATATATATGGCGATAACATAAAATAATCCTTTAGAAACAATGTGTTAAAAGGATTTTTTTTATACAGGTAGAGAAGTAGTGAAAATATCATGTCTTTTATCCTAGGTATTGATTTTTGCAAATTAAAAAAAAAATAATAAAATGTCTACTCTGATGTGAAATTGGACAAAAAAATTACATTATATGGCACAAAAACAATAACATAGAATAGAAATTTACAATACAAATTGGCACAAAATTTTCTTTTGTGCACATTACAATTAGGCAAGATAACAAGTTCTAGAATTAGAATATGTTAGGCTCATAAAAGGAAAAAACAATCATATTTTTTTTTTTTTTAAATTCACTTATTTTCATACATTCTCAAAAATCTTTGAGAAGGATGGCAAGTTAACAAGTGTAGCTGGGTAATTTAGACAAATAGTTCAGTTTTTAAACTGAATTACAATATTGAGAAAAAAAAGTTGAAATCTGGGTTAATAGTAGTGATGTGATGATTAATCAGAATCAGAGGCATTGGAATTGGAGAGTTTTTAACTTAATTTCTGATTCCAAAAACGATTCTTTGAATTTTTTTTTTTTATTTTAAACATAATTTTCCATTCCTGGTACTAATGATAAAAAGATATAAATAATTATTGATTTTAATCTATCAGTAAAACTAAAATATATAGATCTTAATAACATAAAATATGATGAAAATTTATTTCATTTTAAAAAAAAAAATAAAATAAAATTGCTTTTTTCTATGACACATTTCTTTGAACATTCCATAAAAAAAAATATTTTTAGTTTAAAGTCTGTTAATTTTTTAATTTAAATAAAATGTTTATTTTATTTTTTTTTTAAACATTGTTAATTAAAAAAAAATTTAATATTATAAATTATTAATTCAAATAATTATTCAAAAAATTATGTAATATAAACACAAAATGAATTCATGTTGTTGTTCTTATGTCTTTGAAACATTTTTTTATTATATTTTAAATTGTAAAAAATGAAAAAAAGTATTTTCTTTATTTAAAAAAAAAAAAAAAATTAGATTTTATTATAAAAAAATTTATTTTAAAATTCAAATTTTCAGTTGTTTTAAGTAGAAAAAAAAAAAATTCCATATTTAAGTTCCAATCAGTTAACACACACAAAAATTGTCTAAGGAGTTACTTTTCATAAACCCTGTATATTTCATTAAAAAAATATAAAAAGTGATGACAATTTTTTCAGTGGTAGAATTCAATAAAAATGAATTTCCCATCATAAATTTTATAACAAATTGAAATATCTAATCATAAAACCTCCCACTGAATGTTGAAAGTGAATAGTTATTTAGCATTGGAGGTTAAGAATTTATTTTCCAAAAAGATATCAGAAACTAAAAAAAAAAAAAATAGAGATGATAATGTTCTTAGATTATAATTTAAGAATTTTAGGACTTAAATACGAAAAGCTAGGTACTTAAGTGATTTATTTAAAGAAATTGTTCTCTTTATTATCAAAACTTTTACCCAATTTGTTTAAAAAAAAAAAGGATATTTAAATTTTATTTAAACAGGGGTTTTGTAGAAAAAATTTTCTACTAAATTTTTATTAATAAAAATTTTTGATTCATTAATTTTTCTCAAACCAATTTAGAATAAAATAATGAATTTTAATCATTCTAGGTATAAGAATTGAAAATTTAGAACAGTATATTTGGTAATTGTATTGGAATCAGTAAAAATTATTAGTAATCATCCTATCAGTTCTAAATTTAATTTGATGATTTTGTGAATTTTTTTTAATATTTTTTTTTTTTTTCAGTTTTTTATCATTCCATTTTACTTTTATTTTGTAGTAGTCATCATCCTTGTGAATGCCAAAAAAAAAACCTTTTTTTTTTAAAGCAGATGTTAAATGAATATTGTTTTAAAGATTTTTTAATACATTTTCTTTCAAATGTGATTTATAAAATTTAAATATTTTGATATGATATTTTCCATTTCCCTTTTGCCAGTCAAAACAAAATCATTAATATAAATTCAATAAAAATTTATCCATGAAAGATCAATTGTGATAAAATGAATAAAACATTTTTTTTTTTTTTTGAAAATTTTTAAATAATTTTTATCTAGGTATATACAAAATTTTTAATTTATTTTTTTATATATTCCTGTATCTGTTCTGTTGTTGTTAGTTTTTCCATTTTGAATATTGACTATCATCTTTTGTTTTAGAGGTGATATTAATTTTTTTTAGATCAAGGTTGGAGAATTAAATTAATATGAAATTAAATCCAAAGACAGACGTTTTTAAATTAAAAAAAACAACAAAAAAAAAAAAATAAATTGGCTGTAATGTCAATTTAATAAGGTTATTTTTTATTTTTCCTAAAAACATTACAATGCATTTTTTTTCATTTTAGCTCAGTACTAGATTGGCAGCTAGGTCTCATCATTTTACAGTTGAAATGGCTAGATAATTATTTTTAATTATTTCCAAAATTTATAAGATTTTCTTATACAAAAAAAAAACTTGTGGAACTTTTTAAAATAAATTTGCTTCCTAGTCAATAAAATTTGTATTAACAAAAATTTAAATGCAATGTCAAAAATTATTATCAACTGTCTTCTTGATAGAATTCTTTTATTTGACTTTTTTTTTAATTTTTTTTTTCACATTTTTTATTTTAACATCAGTATCATTTTGTATCTTAGTGGCTTTATTACCTTGCAATGAAATTGAAATGATTAAAAAAAAAAAAAGCAAAAAAAAAAAGATTTTTATCTCAATTTTGTACTTGATAAAAATTTACTGCTTTTATTTTATTTTAATGAATCTTAATTAGGACCAAATTAATTTTATATTTTTAAATTTTGCTATATTTCAAAACAAAAGAAGATATTTCTATGGAAGCAAGTTATAATCCCTAATAAAATAAAAATAGTTCTGATTAGTCTTTCTCTTAGACTGGCTGCCAGTCAAGTATGCTAATTCTAAATCTAAAAAAAAAAATGTATCGTCCATCAGGTTTTAAAAGATTTTATGCATAACATATTTATGTTTAAAAAATAAAATTAATTTATATAATAACATACAAAATTTGATTATTTTTTCAACCAATTTAAAAGGTCATTGTCAAATGTATATTATAAATATTATATTTCTCCTCTGCATAAGTAATAGGTTAAATTTTAAAAATTTATCATTTTTATTTGCAATATATATTATAATATATGAATTTATCATCCTAATATAATACAGGGTGCGACAGATAAATTGTCGTCTAAATTATGCAAAAATGAAAATAACACTGATATCTCATTTTAACAGATACATTTACCAAAATTACATAAAAAATATCTTCAAATACTAAAGAGTAAATTTATTCAATAAAATCGCCATTGGCTTCAACCACGGCCTCCAGATGACTTCAGAATCTCCTGCAACTCTTCTGGATGGTCTCCTTGTTTAAGTTGGCGAATGCTGCCATAATCCTTGCCTTCAGTTCATCTTTGGTGTTACAAGGAGTTTTTTTTAGTCTCTTGCCCAACTGCGTCGCACACAAAATAATCAGGGGGTTGGATTCTGGGGAGTTAGGTTGCCAGATGTAAGGGGTGATATGGTCGCAGAAATTGTCTGACAGCCATGACTGATTTCTCCTGCTTGTGTGGCATGGTGCAGAGTCCTGTTGCCAGACATAGGGTCTTCCAGCAGCCACCCTCTTGACCCAGGGCAGCACTACCTCCTCAAGGCACTTGATGTAGGCCTCCATGTTGAGTCTGAGGCCCTGTGGGAAGAAATGAATGGAGGCATAATCAGAATGATCACTGAGTTTTTGATCACTCCAAACACCTTTTGTAATCACCATTAGACTCATCCAACTCTTTTTCCAAATCCTCTGCACTGTCCTCAGATTGACACCCAAACACTCTGAAAATGTTCATATTGGAGCTTCTGGCACAAATGCCAAGCAGTACAGCATGCTGTTTCCAAATTTCTGGCAGAGTGAATTGTGTCATGGTGCTCTCTTTTTCTCACAGATGGTGCCCAACTGACCCTACTATACTGTGCAGTCGACAAAATAAAAAAAAAAAACAACACATTTAAAATTAAAAATAAAAAAATATAAAATGGCAACAATTTACCCATTGCACCCTATATATATTATATATATATATATAAATAAATTTAGAATAAATATAATAATCATTTTTAAAAAAATAGAAGTATTCACAATATATATTAATGAAAATATCATTTTCTTTTTTATCTTTAAATACACCAAGAATAACACAGGAAAGAATTTGACAAATATGGATGGTGATGATATATATATATATATATCAAATTTACAATTTATTTTTGATTATTATAAAATTTTTAGATTTGCAAAAAATTGTCAAGGAAAACTTAAAATTTATTCAATTAGAGATAGGCAAATATTGATCAT